AGTAGAGGTGAATACCACATATGTGGTTTATGACAATTATAAGGTTATTGAGTAACAGAGCTGGAGAACAAATTCAGGAAGAAATTCACCTATAAAAACTTCTGCGAAAAGCCTGCAAGGTATACAAGCTACTTGGAAGTGCATGAGATCATGGGGGTCAACTCAAACTACAATAATCCTAAACTAGAAAAGCAACAATTTCTGGGGAAATTGTGTGAAGTGTTCTTGCCTCCACCAGTAGTCTACAACTGGAGTGGGCGGAGTAACTGGGTGAAGTGGCTGGAGTAACTGTTGTGTGGTTGGAGTGGCTGGAGTAACTGTGGAAAGGTTGAACTGGGCAGAGTAACTTTATGGAGTGGGCAGAGTAACTGTATGGAGTTTTTGGAGTGAGTAAAGATAGTAAACATTACACTAACCAATTGATTGATCACATTTAAAAAGTGCACATGGCAAGCTTGATAGAGTGAGAAAAGCATTTCAACTTTTATTTATTTATATAACACATTTAATTGCAACGTTGTTGCCCAAAGTGCTTCACAGTTACATTAAAACATACATTTATAGGCTAACTGAGGACCAGAGCGGACGCAACTCTCTGAGCTCCGAGCCCTATTCTGCTGAAACCGTGTTAAAACAGGCTTTTTCAGCCAAAACTGACCCCATATCATACACGCAACGCAAAGGCAGACGATGGGCAGAAAAACTAAAAAGCCCCGAGCCGACAAGTGCCTGATCAGCAAAGATATTGGGGAACTGCTACGGAACTCACAGCAGACCGGGGATGAGTTCTCGTGCTCATCCGACGAGGCCTCCATAGATCTCGAGGAGGGAGCCTCCTATGACCCACCGCTGAAAAGGGCAGATAAGCCCCTGCAAGCCGGGGAACCGATGACGGCGGACCTGCTTAAAGCCATGTTTGCGGACCTGCGGAAAGACCTGGCCGCGGACAGGGCCCACTACAACACCGCCATAGAAGGCGTCAAGGCCAAAGCCACACAACTCGAAGCCACCTCCAATGTCCATGACGCCCGAATCACGATGGTGGAGCAATCACTGGCAGACCTCCAAGACAGGCAACTAGCTGCTGAAAAACGAGTAAACTCACTCGAAGACCAAAGACGAAGATACAATTTAAAAGTTAGAGGCATACCGGAGACCGTAGGCCTCAAGGACTTACCCCACTTCATCAGACGCCTGTTTGAAGCTTTGATGTTGCCCAAACAGGCCAAGGCCATAAAGCTAGACGGGATGTTCCGGCTTCCCAAGCCTGCACAGGTACCACAAGCAACACCGGCGGACCTCATCCTCCGCTTCCAAAACCTCCAGGACAAGAACACCTTCTCAGCCGCAATAAAAGGGAAAACCCCCTTAACCTTTGAAGGGGCCACGCTCCTAGTCTTTCCAGACGTGACAAAAAGAACCCAGGCCTGGAGGAAATCACTGCAGCCGCAGCTTCAACACCTCCGCACCAAAAACATCCCATACCGATGGGGCACCCCGCGAGCACTGCTATTCACCCATTGAGGGACTACCTACAAAGCACGGAGCCTACAAGAATTAGAAGCGCACCTGCGTTCTCTTAGTCTTACCACCACCCCGAATGGGGCAAGCGGGACTCTGCTCCACATCAACCCTGCAAACATTGTGGTCTTTACTCCAAGACCGACCCTGAACGCAATGCCGACCTGAACGCCAACGAGAAGACCGAGCCAGGGATGGTATGCCCGCATGGATGTCCAACTGCTGTGCCGGACTGTTTGTTGCCTACCAGGCTTCTATGACAACTCTTTCTCGTTCCTCAGCATTAATGTTTTCTTAATGTTTTCTTCTTGTTTTATTTTAATGGTTTAAGTTTCCTAAATGCACTACCGTAACTGCATGGCGCTGTTTCACCAGTAACTGTCGCCAAGTCCTCACCGACTAGTTATCACACTACCTTGAAAATACTCGAGTACTAATCCGCTCATAACCCTCAGACCTAGTATCTCTCAATCGGCCCACACATACCTCCCCCCCCCCTACCATACCCCCACAAGGGAACCACTATACGAACTTATCCACCAGCACCCAGTAGGGAGCATAGTAACCTGCAGATAGGTGACTTCTTAACAACTTCTCTTCGGTTATAGCTCAAGGTCCACACTAGGTGACTAACAAATACCCTATGGGGCAAGTAAACTACAGGGATGAAACTCATAGGGCCCCAATAGAATACTCAAATTAACACGACAAGGAGCAGACGAAGCTTAGGACCCACTGTCTCTCAATAGAGGTTTTTCTAACAGGACATCCAAAACTAGACCCGCTTGGTTCTCTACTTACACTATAACAGTACTCCGCCCGCAATACTGACACACCTCTGGCAATCAATACCAATGCTTAAATTGATGTCCATGCATGCTCCGCAACCTAGCTATGTTTATATTTACAAAAAAAAAAAAAAATGTGCAATGTTCCTCACCTGCTATGTGCTTGTTTTCAAATGTATACCAATTTTGGGCTCACACATTCAGTTGTAGCAGTGCAAGCCAATTTGTGATCTTTTTTGCATAATAAAATAAAGAATTAAAAAAAACAAAACATACATTTATAAAAACATTAGCAGTTGTACAAAAGGCCCTGTCTATGACATCACTTGCTGCTGCAGCCTGGCACAGGTCAGAGTATTTTGGCGGTTGCCATCTTCAAACTGTCGTATTTTAAAAACTATACATCCTACAGCGAAGAGCTTTATATTGTGAGAATCACAAGACACAGACCTAATTTTTTTTTTTTTCAATTTGACAATTTTTATTTTGTCATATATCAAAAGGCAGTATAAGGGGGGTACAGAATAAAGAAGGGAAGGTGGGGAAGGATGTAGGCAACGTTGTTTACACGTAAATCGTTTTCGTCTCGGATATGTGCAGTATATGTTTCACATTTCACATCACGTGTTCCACATTTCAAATGCTAGCGTATACAATATTACCCATTACACTTTAAACGGTCATGTTTTCCCAATCTGTATTTGCTGCCTGTCTCTGAGTCGCAGGTGTGGAATGGAGTACTGGTCGTAACATCGCCACTGTTGTGGTTGGATCCGTGGGTGAATTGCTTTACGGCACGTGTATTGTGTCATTCTCTCTTATCCCTTGCGTGTTGTTCTGGCCCCCTGCCCCTGCGTACTGGTCTCCTTAGGGGAGACTGGGTTTTACCCCCACA